AGCCTCTCTGCTCTGTCAGTGTCCCCTAAAGACAACTGGGCTGTGATGGCCGGGCTGAGGCCGTGGCTCAGAACAGGGCTGCTGCTGGGGATGGGATTTGGGGAAGTCCTCCTGGTGCCTGGGCCCACCCCAGGGATGCTCTGGGTGCTGGCTCTGCTCACTGCCCCGGGGCACTGCTGACAGAGAAGGTCCCTGCTCTGGGAGTGCTGGGGAATTGGGGATCTGGCCTCTGAGCCTGGCACTGTGTGAAATGGTTGATGTCCCGGGGGGGGGGGGGCACGGGTACTGGGCCCTGCCTCAGCCTGGCCATGCCTCTTTCATTGCAGGGAACGGAGCTGAAGGTAGCACTGCCGGTGCCCAGCCATGATGCCCTTTGGTGGGATGGCTGCCCGTCTGCAGAGGGACCGCCTGAGAGCCGAGGGGGTTGGCCAGCACAACAACGCCATCAAGTACCTCAACCAGGACTATGAGGCCCTCAAACAGGAGTGCATTGAGAGCGGCACCCTCTTTAGGGACCCCCAGTTCCCAGCCGGCCCCTCTGCCCTTGGATTCAAGGAGCTGGGGCCACACTCCAGCAAGACGCGGGGGGTGGAGTGGAAGCGTCCGTCGGTAAGTGCTGGGCTTGCTTCTCCTCGAGCTGGACTGATGTCCCTGCCCTGCAATGTCTGCACTGACGTGTTTTGCCAATGTGCAGCCTGGCCCTGGCCTGCTCCTCCCGGTGCTCAAAGTTCCTCGGGTGCTTCATAGCCGCCTTTCCCAAGGGCTTCGAGCAATGCCCCATGAGTGTCTGCTCAGAAAAGCATCATGTCTAGCAGGGCCTGCTTCCTCTGGGCAGCAGACCGTGGGCTTTAAATTGAGTGAGCTACGTCATTGCTTCTAGGTGTCATGGCATGGATGTGTCACCCTCGGTGACTGGGGCTTTTGAGGGTGTATATCCCCTGGTGCCACGAGTGCAAGGGGAACACCATTAATCTGTCTAGCTGTGTCCTCCCATGGCTACAGCAGAAGATCTTGCCTTGCCTTACTGTGATGGCCTTGGGGTTGCAGTCACGCAGATTTCCCTGGCAGAGGGCAGGTGGGGTGCATTCTTGGGGACCGTATACTCTTCCTCCCAATACAGAGCTTCAGTGGGTGCCAGCCCTGCAGAAGCCCGGGCCCTGCCGAGATCCAGCACCAGCATCTGATTCTCTCCTTCTCCTGCAGGAATTAGTGGATGACCCTCAGTTTATTGTTGGTGGTGCAACCCGGACAGACATCTGCCAGGGGGCTCTGGGTGAGTGCTGGAGCTCTGTCCCTGGACCTTGGTCCAGAGAGCAGTGGCTGGGGAGGGTTGGCGTGGCTGGAAAAGAGGTGTTTGTGTATGGTTGAGGGTGGAACAGTTTCACAGCACCTTTCCCCAGGTCTGTGCAGCACACTTTCATGCTAGCCTGTGCACACCCATCTCTGTACCAAAGGCTCCATTCCCATTTAGCGTGGTGGAAACTGGAAGGCAGGGGACACTCTATGCCTTCTGGTGGCTCTAGGTTAAGGCTCCATGAAAATGGGTTGATATGTGCATAGCTTGACCATGCTAAGATCAGGGGAGATGTCAGGTGGAGCCATGCCTGGCACATGCTGACAACAACGCCAGAAGCTGCTCCAAGGAGCTCCCTGCTTTGATAAATGGTGAGGGATGGCAGCTGGATGACAATAACAAACTGAGGTGAGAATGAGCTGGTCATGACAAGGTGCTTGTGAAGCAACACGGTGTGGCAGAAGGGAATTGAGAGGAGAACTATGGAGTACAAGTGGTGATTTGTCGTTTCTCCAGGGGTGTCTCCCAAGGTACAGGCACTGAGACAAGGAGAGCAGTGTTAATGGGCTGGCAGGGCTGGCAACTGGGATTTCGTGGTCATCGGAACCAGAACTGGGTACCACCAAGAGTGTTGTCCTGATCTGGATCATGGTGGGCACTTGATTGGGAGTACTGTGTACCTTAGCACACATAACACGCTGGTTTCAGGGCTGACCACATTTAATGCATCCAGTAATTAGAACAAACTTGAGGTGGTAACTGGAGCACGGAACAGCCCAGAGCACTGTGGTGGTGTTCAATTGGTCATTAAAAAGTCTGAAATGCCATTTTGTCAAACCACAGCTCTGTACAGGTTATCCAGGCTCAAGGCTGAGGTGTGGCAGGCTTCAAAGGCAAAAGACAAAGGGGAACTAAGGCAAAGAATTCAAAGCGCAGTGTTGGCCTGGAGCAGCACTTTGTGGTTAAGAGGACTTGGAAGGAAAAGTGCGGTGGTGTTGCTCGCAATTTGAGAAGCTGGAGCAGCACCAATAAACCTCTATCTTGATAAAATGTTTCTTTAAATGCAAAGCATAATTCCGCTGCAGAACTCACTGTCTGAGATGTGGAGGGCAGTCATATGAGGGTCTAGATAAACTGCTGCAGGACGGGGCTGTTGGTGCTGACTGTATGTGGTGGGCTGAACACAGGCTCCAGGTCAGGGAGGATCGTTCTCTGTTGCCTTGAGCTAATATTTCTCTCCAAGGCAGGCTGAACGAGCCTGGCTCCCTGAGCTCTGTTTGTCTGCTGGACTCTTTCTGGTTTGTCAGTGTGCTTTTTGAGCTGGGGAGCACCAAACATTTGCAAGGGGAGCACACCGTGGGCTCCTACGCATCCACTGCCAACCCCCCAGCTAGGAAGGAGGTGGGTGTTCACACCGGCTTCTTCTCCTTCCCCAGGTGACTGCTGGCTGCTGGCTGCCATCGGCTCCCTCACGCTCAACGAGGAGCTCTTGCACCGCGTGGTGCCCCATGGGCAGAGCTTCCAGGAGGACTATGCCGGCATCTTCCACTTCCAGGTGGGCTGGGAGCTCTTGGCCTTCCACAGCTGAGGGTGAGAGGGAGGGCAGTGTGTTGAAGCCATGCCTCTGGGGTAGGGATGAGCAAGTTGTGTGATGCTCTGAGCTCACCCCACTCTCTTCTGACCCCCCAGATCTGGCAGTTTGGTGAATGGGTGGACGTGGTGGTGGACGACCAGCTGCCCACCAAGGATGGGGAGCTTCTGTTCGTGCACTCTGCAGAGTGCACCGAGTTCTGGAGTGCTCTGCTGGAGAAGGCCTATGCCAAGTGGGTACCCCCGTGGCGGGCAAGTGGGCAGGTGGGGGACAGGGCACCTTACTATGCAGGGGTCTCTTCTATCACTGTCCCTGCTTGTGCTGGGTGCCAGAGGAGCAGCAGGGTGCTACGTTCTTGTCACCTCACACGCCCCTCTTGCTGGCCGGTGCTCAGGCTGAACGGCTGCTACGAGGCGCTCTCAGGGGGCAGCACCACCGAGGGCTTCGAGGACTTCACTGGCGGTGTGGCAGAGATGTATGACCTCAAGCGGCCACCGCGCAACATGGGCCACATCATCCGCAAGGCGCTGGAGAGGGGATCCCTGCTGGGCTGCTCCATTGACGTAAGTGATGCAGCGGGATGAGCCAGGGGCTCTGCCCCAGTGATGGCCAAAGCGAAGCCTCACAGCCCAAGATCGTGTCAGCAGTCCCCTCACTGGGACACGGGGTGGGAGGTTTTTTTTACTCTTTCCAGAGCCAGGATGACAGCCCCAGGGCACAGCAAGTGGGGCTGCAACCCAGCTGCTGGGAATAGGCTCCTTTGGATGGAGCAGGAATTTGCATCTCCACCATGGGCTGTTGAACAAGGGTCTGCCTGTAGCTCTGGCCATGTCTTACATCAGCATCTGAGATTTACCTGGAGTGGGATTTTCCATCTGTTCCCTCTCATGAAATCCTTTTCTTGCTTTCTGAAGTTTGGGTGGTTCCCTGATGGATCTTCAGGGTCTTCTGGCTGGGAAACTGTCTTTACATTGTCCTCAGCCTTTGAGCAGAGGGTGCTGGTACCTGCTGCTTCTCTTGGCTGGAGCAGTGCAAAGCAAGGGGAATTCTCCGTGCAGTAGAGGGAAGGGGTAGGGATAGGACTACATGAATTTAATCATATTCACTTGAGCCTTTCACATTCTCCTCAGATCACAAGTGCCTTTGATATGGAAGCAGTGACCTTCAAGAAGCTAGTGAAGGGCCACGCCTATTCTGTCACAGCCTTCAGAGACGTGAGTTGGCTATGTGAGACTTATTAGCAATAAAATAGCCTGCCCAGTGACATGGGCTCAACCTCCTCTGTCTGGTGGCTGGCAGGGGAACTC